CCCCCTCATTTCCGGCCCAACTAATTCAACAAAAATAGGTTGCTGGTATAAGCGAGATAACTCTTCATATATGTATATATGTGAGAATAGGTTCTGTATCTCGTTGACCGGTCGTTACTTATGAGCGATAACTATGAACTCGTTATGACGATATAAAGTGATGACATAACGTTACCTGTTATGTTTATATTCCTGGATCTAAATGTTCCCGATAAACAGCGTGGTTACATAATCAAACGTGGTGATATGTCGAATATAGTGCTGTCTCACATTCCAGTATTCATATAGGGTTAACACAACAATAGTCTGGATCTGAGTCATTCAGTATAAACGAAAACAGAAAATTTCTCCCAAATAGTATTATGATTTGATTTCTTTCACAAATGAAGGCGTTTTGCTTCACGTTTGGAAATCTTAGTTTTACCTATCACTAGCTGGGATCGTCTCGCATAAAAAGAAAATGTGTGTATAGTGTGTGCTAAATATGCGAACAACGCACCTGCCCACACCCTCAACCCGCGCTCCCACACTAAAACAAACCCCTAGCAACAACGCACCTGCCCACACACTCCACCCTCGCTCCCACACTAAAACAAATCCCTCACAACATCGCGCCTGCCCACACCCTCAACCCGCGCTCCCACACTAAAACAAGCCCTCACAACAACGCACCTGCCAACACCCTCCACCCTCGATCCCACACTAAAACAAGCCCTCACAACAACGCGCCTGCCCACACCCTCCGCCCTAGCCCCCATGCTAAAACAAATCCCTCACAACATCGCGCCTGCCCACACCCTCAACCCGCGCTCCCACACTAAAACAAGCCCTCACAACAACGCACCTGCCCACACACTCCACCCTCGCTCCCACACTAAAACAAACTCTTCACATCAACGCACCTGCCCACACCCTCCACCCTAGCCCCCATACTAAAACAAATCCCTCACAGCAATGCACCTGCCCACATCATCCACCCTCGCTCCCACACTAAAACAAACCCTCACAACAACGCACCTGCCCACACACTCCACCCTCGCTCCCACACTAAAACAAACCCTCAAAACAACGCGCCTGCCCACACATCAGACCTTATATATTAGATCTTACCCCATCTTAATGTCCCGACAGATGAAGTACAATCTGTTTCGTTTTGTTTTGACACTGGGAACTAACTTCTCAACTTTTTCCATGTTTAAATGCCTGTTTGTAATAGTTTTACGATTGTAGAAACCATACAGTTAAGTCTGACTAAAGTAGACATGCTAAATTCTGTTGTTTGATGGAAATGTATTGGAATTCGGTTGTTTATTAACGAATCTTGGCTTTGCGTTGCATACTGCCTTGATTAACTAGGTGCTGTAAGCCATTTTTTAATACATTGGTACATATTGAAATCCTCTAAACTTGAAAAATGATTGAGTACAGGGAAACGACTAGTTCCGTGTCATAACACACATTCGTTATACAGAATAGACAGCATACAAATGATGTAATACTCGAAATGAAACCAGGGAAAATGAGATTACAGTCAACTAAAGAAAACTATTTGTATTCCCTATTAACCTGTCATCAACATGATACTGGATCTAGCTTTGTTTCCGCGCAGTGATTTTTTCCGCGTGTGCTTGTAAATTCCAACAGTACTGGATTGCTGGTTTTGAAATTGTTAGACATATATGGATGTTTGGCTAGAAATATTCACTGTCGAATTCAGTTCACTGATTAACCGTAACGAAAAATCCTCGAAAATGTCACTGCCGCGGAAACTATCCACATTACAGTATCGAATATACTAACCTGATTTATGTATAGGCCAGAAGTTTTAGTGAGATCCACTTACTTAGTGAATGTCTATTGCTAGTGGCTTGGTGTTTCTCCTTTTGCAACCAACCTTTTCTTGTGCTCGGGACATGGTGCTTTTACATTCCAATACTATCTGCATACGTTACCATTTTATCTATTTTTGTTACGCTACACTATACTGACTCTATCACGAGTGACTTGTACACATCCATGTAGGCCATACTGAGTAAGTTTGATGGTATAACGATGTTACTGAGATGTGTTAGTTGTTTTATACCATACTGAAGCTGACCACGCCATTGTTGGTGTGTTATGAGTCCCTTCATTCTATTTGCTGATCAAAGTGTGTTAATCAGAAGATATGTGTAATGTTATTTTAATAGGATTGTGTATAGCATCACACTCATTTAACGGTATTGATCCGAAAAGAACATGTTCTGTTGTATTAAAGGTCCTTAATCGTTGAGGATGTTTGGCGATAGAACGAACTGGTTATTTTATGACGTCATACCCTTTCACTTCGTTATAACGCCACCAATTGCCACATACGGTGTGACCTTACCCAGGGACCACCCTATAGACGGTGTGGCCTTACCCAGGGACCGCGCTATAGGCGGTGTGGCCTTACCCAGGGACCACCCTATAGACGGAGTGGCCTTACCCAGGGACCACCCTATAGACGGTGCGGCCTTACCCAGGGACCACCCTATAGACGGTGTGGCCTTGCCCAGGGACCACGCCACAGACGGTGTGGCCTTACCCAGGGACCCCCCTATAGACGGTGTGGCCTTACCCAGGGACCATCCCACAGACGGTGTGGCCTTACCCAGGGACCACCCTATAGACGGAGTGGCCTTACCCAGGGACCACCCTATAGACGGTGTGGCCTTGCCCAGGGACCACGCCACAGACGGTGTGGCCTTACCCAGGAACCATACCACAGACGGTGTGGCCTTACCCAGGGACCACCCTACAGACGGTGTGGCCTTACCCAGGAACCATACCACAGACGGTGTGGCCTTACCCAGGGACCACCCTATAGGCGGTGTGGCCTTACCCAGGGACCACCCTATAGACGGTGCGGCCTTACCCAGGGACCACCCTATAGACGGTGTGGCCTTGCCCAGGGACCACCCTATAGACGGTGTGGCCTTACCTAGGGACCACCCTATAGACGGTGTGGCCTTACCCAGTAACCATACCACAGACGGTGTGGCCTTACCCAGGGACCACCCTACAGACGGTGTGGCCTTACCCAGGAACCATACCACAGACGATGCGGCCTTACCCAGGGACCACCCTATAGACGGTGTGGCCTTGCCCAGGGACCACGCCACAGACGGTGTGGCCTTACCCAGGGACCCCCCTATAGACGGTGTGGCCTTACCCAGGGACCATACCACAGACGGTGTGGCCTTACCCAGGGACCACCCTACAGACGGTGTGGCCTTACCCAGGGACCACCCTATAGACGGTGTGGCCTTACCCAGGGACCACCCTATAGACGGTGTGGTCTTAACCAGGAACCACCCTTAAAACGACAAATCAGTCAAAATAGGAAGGATATCTGTTGATGCTATCCACAACAGAAAGCGATGTGAAAATAACTGAAAACTTTAGTGACAGTGTACTTTTTTTTACTCTTAGATATTTTGTTAAAGTATATATATATATTAACATAGACAAATCAATTTGCATGCAATTTATTGCTTGATATACCATAACTCATTGGATCATACAGTGAACAGTTTATCTTCTGCATTTAACTCATAACATATATTATGTGTAAATCTGTTCATTTTACGATTTGTTTGAGTAAACATTTCGAATCATGTTTTGAGTAGATGTAATTTCGATGCTATACGGAATGTGTATTACAAAACAATCTCCTATACATTTGTATTAGACAATGATATTTTTGTAAAATTATTGTAAAATAAACACTTTTATTTAATTTATTTCACACATCTTAGTTATTTTTATATATTTACATTTGCGCTGCAATGCCATAATGTAAACCTAGCAAATAACGTTTCGAGTCATAATACTATGAACCGGAAGTGGGTAGTAATATGACCGTAACCTTAAAGTAAACAAACAATGCGGAAGTCACGAGATGTTGTGTTGTAGACAATAATTAAAATTTCATTAAAATAGCATTTCTGTGTGGAATTTAACCGATCAGTTTCGTCGACACAAAAGGAAACACTCAGTTACTCGCTGTCCGTCATTTATAGACCCTCAGCCTACTCGTGTCCCGTAGATCTACCTTACCCCACTTTGTCTGAAATGTCGCTTTTAGTATCACACGGCTCGAATACCACTATAGTCTCGTTCAACAAGACTCTTGTTGTCTGCGCAAGCTACGCCGATCTTGAATTACAATTAAAATATCAATACATTGTTCAGTATTTCATAGAGTATCAATACATTGTTCATCATATCATACAGTATCAATACATTGTTCATTATATCATACAATATCAATACATTGTTCATTATTTCATACAATATCAATACATTGTGCATTATATCATACAATATCAATACATTGTTCAGTATTTCATACAGTATCAATACATTGTTCAGTATTTCATACAGTATTAATACATTGTTCATTATATCATACAATATCAATACATTGTTCAGTATTTCATACAATATCAATACATTGTTCAGTATTTCATACAGTATCAATACATTGTTTATTTTATCATACAGTATCAATAAATTGTTCATTATATCATACAATATCAATACATTGTGCATTATTTCATACAGTATCAATACATTGTTCATTATATCATACATTATTAATATATTGTTGAGTATTCTATGCAGTATCAATGCAACGCTCAGTATTTAAAATTATATTGATACAATGTTGCGTATTTAACACATTGATGATAAAACCATCTGTCTCATTGACCTAACAAGGTTAGGTACTTCCAGGTACTACCATGGTTCTTGTCTCCCTATCACTGATCAGGACGGTGTACTAGAAACCAGAACGTCTGGTTTGGCTGCAGCTTGTTATTCGCTGGTCGTATCGTGAAGTTACAATTGTAAATAGGAATGGGTTTCAATTATGTCTTCATCATTTAACAAGATTGTACAGAGAATAAAGGTGAGTTATGTAGTCACCTGAGGCCACAGCAAATGTTTCCTACGTCACAACAGCAAGACAACAATAGTCTCCTTATTTATGAATAAATACTATAAATTATTCATATTTTGTTACATGATTATATTTTGAAAAATCGTCAAATTGGTCTCTCCTTATTTCCTGGGGTTCAAAAGAGGATATTTGTTGGAATATGAATTCAAAAATCATAGAAAATACATAAGATTTAATTAGAATTTGCAATCAAAATTTCCTCCAAAGAGTCTTGCTGATCAGAATTGATTCACAGCGAGCGAATTTAATGTATGGAGTAAGGAGGACATCTAATATACGTGAGAGAGCCGCGATGTTTTAAGTTGATGCCCGACATCAAAGGCAAAGTACACGTTCAGAATTCAAGTTAAAGTATGTAGGTTTCTATGTTAAATATTCTGCATATATTCACCATGTCGACAAAACAACGTGATCATCTTGCTCGAACCCTTTACATGTCTGTTTCATATTTAGCATTTTTGCACAAGGTGTTACCCTAGACTCTGCCAGAATGGACCGTGAACATTGTCAGGCAGTATCGTCCTGAATAGAAAGTAAACTGAGAGCGAAACTTTATAAAGAAATGTATTCAATGACTGCTACATTCACTTTAGACATGAACTTTTTTCATGTCATCGTTAGTTGCGGTATTGTGTTATCAAAGCACACCTGACCGTCATTATCTTACGGAAAGAAAATTTTTCACAAAAACCTTGGATAACTTACGGCATCATATCCTACACATACAACGTTTGGGAGATAAACAGATGACAGATAACAACTACTTGTTGTTATACCTGGTGTTTTATCGACGCGTTGATCTAAAGAAACACGAGAGTTACTCGTGAAATACCGATCTATATCGATATAGCTATGCTGAATATCAATCTTTATCATATACTACTAAGTCCGAATCCTTCGAGGGTATAACAGATCTGTGTCGGGGTGTTTTTTTTTTTTTTTTTTTTTTTTTTTTTTTTTTTTTTTNATTACATATACATAAACATAAACAGGACATTCACGCATTCTCACATATACACACACGGACATGGATTTAGCATCATCACAATCAATTTCATTAATATCATAATCTGTGTTTTCTAGTAACAACCGGATATTATTGATTCGTTATTGATGAAGCAACAACACATCCGACATTGACTCATCATCACTGACATGGAAACTTCCTTCCCCCGACAAATACCGGACATCAACGACATGGAATCTCCCTTCCCCCGACAAATACCGAGCATTACCGGCATAGAAACTCCCTTCCCCCGAAAAATACCGGGCATCACCGACATAAAAACTCGCTTCCCCCGACAAAGACCGAGCATCACCGACATGGAATTTCCTTCCCCCGACAAGTACCGGGCATCACCGACATGGAAACTACCTTCCCCCGACAAATACCGAGCATCGTCGACATAGAAACTTAACATCTATATAATATTTTAACTACATACAATATACTGTAATAGATAACTGCTTATTTCGATATATGATTTATATAAAAGCTGTAAAATACAATAAACCTTACACTGGGTTAAAGCTTTAACAAGACATAGACCACTAGAGTAGCGCTCAGCATGTTTCAAACCGGAAATGTGATTTCAAATGTTAATAGAAATTCAGATATAACTCAATCATATACTCTAAAGTGAATCAAAGCGGTTTATATTATGACTGGAAATTACATTGTTATTGGCAAACACTGTAGTAGAGAACAACAGCTAAACCAACCGTGGCAACATAGAAATACATTGTATATATTGTTATGTGGTCTGTGTCCGTTTACTGTGGTTGGTAGCACAGGGACCTGACATTTTGTTACAGCTATATTTGATCATAAACTAAAATTACTTTGAACACCTTAGTTTAGGTACAAATATAGCTGTAACAAATTATCAGGTCCCTGTGGTTGGTAGGGGAGAGACATATCGGTGTCCGTTTTGTGAACAGTCACGGCCTGGTTAAATCTGATCTTTGTTTATCTTTTCTAAATGTGCTATGTGCAGAATAAATATGCATACTTACAGAACTCTATAGAATAAATTTACATACCTATAGAAACTATATACTGACACCGGCACGTGTTTCACCTGTACAGGTCACCTGGTTTGGTACTAAGGCACCTACTTATCAGATCAGTCAGGCATTCAGGGCATTTAAGATGGTGTTTGTTTCAGATGTTTTCTTGATCAAAGTATTAAGTAACCAATATGCTGTGTATAACAGAGTCACCCGAACACATTGCTAGCTTTGTGAGGAGAGGGCAATGTTGGCACCGGTGATGGCGTCGTACACAATTTCAGTCGAAAACTTTCCCGCCTAAAATGTTATTCTCAGAAAGAAAGCTGAGTCAGGCTGACATCATATACATAGTAATAACGGCGAGCTTTATCATGAGAAATATCTACTCTGATACATCGACCCGCGTGCTACGGTAACGGGAGACTAATTACAGTATTTTACATAACTTATATATCGTAACAACCTCTGTCCTACATAACCGAAGATTGTGTTTAAATGTTGTTAACAAAATATTAATTTTCACATTTTTCTAACTGATTTTCCATCTCGTGCGATGTTGCAATAAAATCGTATGTTCCAGTATTAGCTCTTCAAATTTTTTCAACTTTCTAGTATGGTTCAAACTCAACCAGGTAACATCGCTCTTTCTTGAATCAATAATGATCGATCTAAGGTTACTTGAGCAAATTCATATAAAAAGGCTTCAAAACCAACACTGATCAACCAGGATGCAGGTCGGCTACTTTCATGGGTATGCCGTTTGTGCTAGGGAGAGCGAAACAGACCTTTCTTACATTTGGCAAGATATTTTACTCCAAGTTGTTCCACATACAGGCAGTTACATTTCGGTATTTGTTTATTTATTTGGGGTTTATCGTCCTCGCAACAGCCAGTGTGATATGAGGACGGGTGCCTAGGGAGACAGTAGCCAGGATGATATGAGGACAGGTGCCTAGGGAGACAGTAGCCAGGGTGATATGAGGACGGGTGCCTAGGGAGACAGTAGCCAGGGTGATATGAGGACGGGTACCTAGGGAGACAACAGCCAGAGTGATATGAGGACCGGTGCCTAGGGAGACAACAGCCAGAGTGATATGAGGACGGGTGCCTAGGGAGACAATAACCAGAGTGATATGAGAACGGGTGCCTAGGGAGACAGTAGCCAGAGTGATATGAGGACCGGTGCCTAGGGAGACAACAGCCAGGGTGATATGAGGACGGGTGCCTAGGGAGACAGTAACCAGGATGATATGAGGGCGGGTGCCTAGGGAGACAGTAGCCAGGGTGATATGAGGACGGGTGCTTAGGGAGACAGTAGCCAGGGTGATATGAGGACGGGTGCCGA